TAAACCAAATCAGTTAATTCAGTGCCTACTTTTCTATTAGAGTAGTACTAAGTACTTTACCACTATTTGATGAATACTTAGCAAACGGTAAAGTCAACATAAACTACTAAGTGATTTGAATAGGTAGGTAGTCTTCTATTATAAGTACTTTTAAATTGAAACAAATAAAGCGCAAAGCTAAAATTAATTATGTTTTGTCGTATGCTTAGTCCACTACCTATTATCAAAATATAATGAAGTAGTTGGATACTTGTACCCATAGAAGCTGACTTGGTTTACATTAAATTTACCTAACATTATTTCACGAGATATTTTACAAACACTAGTTAGGTTTATATAAATTATAATTTTTGTGGAGATTAAAGTTACTCTTAAATGAAAGGCTTTGTAACGCGTATGGGTTTAAGAACTTTGCATTTCATTTTATTGAATAAATGTTGCTATATTATTATGAGAGGCGTTAAAAACGTCAGTTTGAACGTCCGATTAATAAATATTAGACAACAACAAATATATTGCTCGATTCTAAATTAATATACCAACTAAAGCACTTGTATTATAGAAATCTACAATTCAAGTGCGTGACGACATGTGACGCATGTAATTTCAACTCAAATTTATTGACAATGCAACAAATAAACGTGTTAATATTCTTCAATAATCTACCTGACAGACAGAAAAACAAACAAAAATTACTCATCATCCCTGTTGCCGACGACGACGACAGTAAAACCTCTTTATATAGTTTTTGTATACTTTTAATATTTGCTTTTGTATTTTATTTTATTATGTCATTATATAGAAAAAATATCAAAACCCACGGCTTTTTATTTTAAAATTATTATCACATAATATCTGTTTAGCCGTTATTAAGCCCGCGTCAATTTAAGCTTATGTAACCAGCTTTCCGTAGGCGAAAGATTTTTTAAAACGATCCAAATGAAAATACAAACAGATAATCGAATCTAACCTCTTTGTAATATATTACACAGTATTGCGTGCTATTTGCCTAGTTCTGGGGTCGGCAGGCAACCTCGCGGCTATTTCGATATAAAGTTGCGGCTCTTAAGTTCCGTTAAAAAAAATATTTTATCGTCGAAACCCTTTAAATCGTGTAATCAATCCATATTTGAGTACCAGTGATATAAAAGTATTAAAATATACTCAATATGGTGGAGATTGGATTTTCAAACTAGTAACATTTTAAATTAATATGAAATCTATTAGTTTCTCTTTAAAAACTGTGAAATTTTGTAAAATGTAAGTTTTGGCTTCTTCTTTCTTTTAGGTTGCTGACCCTCTACGAAAACAAAATGTCAACGAATCCACATGCAAAATTCAGAGTTTTCTGTACTTCATTTCACTGTTCGATAAACCAATAACCAACCAATGTAAATAAATGAGCCGTTATAGCAAAGCAAATAATACAATACAATAATACACTACATAAAATTATCGCCATGTAATTTAAGCTTTTCCAACTGAATCAATGCAATGACCAATATATTAATGTGTCATACAAATTAAACCTCAATTACCTGTCATTGTACTTATAAAACCTGTCTTGAAATTAATCTATATTTAGATTCATTACGACGTTTATAAAAATCTCGATCACGTCGGTCAATCCTACGTTACTTAATGAATTAATAAATAATTTTGATTAGCCAGGCCATAATACAACTTGTTTATATTATATTTGTTTCGACTTTGGCAGTAGTCTTTTTATTTTTTTTTAAATTGAAGAGGAATGCTCAGTTTTCACCTATTTAAAAAACTTCAAGATTGCGAACATATTTTAATAAGACACAGAGTTTCTCTTTGGTCACAAATAAACATGGGAGAGCTCGTTCTGGTATATTATCTGTTTTTTTATTATTTTCTGTTTTAACTCTCCAAAATGTTTTCTCGAAAGTTTAAATATTTCTTTCGGTTGGTTGAATGGATTGCCTGAATATTAATGAAAATAGGCAGTAAAAATAAAAGCCTGTAGTAACAAAGAAGTAATAAGTGTTTAATATCGTCACTCCTTTTAGCTCCTGTGTGGTTCAGTGATTAGAGCAATCGCCTGGTTTCTGAAAGGTCATGGGTTCGTGTCCCATCTTAGAGTGCCAGTGACAAAACGAATTTTTTAAGTAATTTCATTAAGAATATTAAGATATGATTTTATGTAAATGATATGCCTAAAAAGTTTAATCAAAAACAACAAATACTCTGTGAATTGCATACATATCTCTTTATTTAAATGGACATGGACTCTACTTAATTTTATTGGACATTTTCGAAGAAATCAACTAAGATAGACGAACAAACAGATTCAAAAGTGATCTTATTGAGGTCCCATCTTTCTATTTGGCACGCAATCCATTGAGTACCAGGAGATGTAATACCGTAAAGCTTTTAACAGCATAATAGTTAAATAACTATTTACGTCTTTTATTACTTTGTGTAATAACGTTACAACGTACTATTAAAATTACGTATGCCTGATTGGCTGTACAAAAACCAATTTTGTTTAAATCATCTCCATATTCATAGCAGAATAATTACCTCAAGTGCGTGTTATTTAAAATAAGATGTAATACAACTCGATTATTATAGAGTTAATTTTATATATTCTTTATTAAATTACATATGACAGGTATAAATGAATTAAATGGCTTATAATAGATGAATTGCTAATATTCGTTCTTTGTGACCTTAGTGATTTTTCTGTTGCTAAAATATTTATTCGTTTTAAGATCAGACAGATGCACAATGAAATTGTTAACTGTATTCATGATAATAAGTGTGATATCGTGTTACTTTTCAAGTTAATTAAACACAGATACATATACATAAACTATAATAAACTTTGCAATGAAAATTATTTGAATCGTACACTATAATTATCTTTTAATTGAAAATTTAAACTTCGATGCATTTTCAGAGGCATAAGGACAAAAAAGACAATTACTTAGTGTTCAACGTATATATAACTAATTTATAACCCTAAAACATCTTAGGGACTCTGAATTTTTAAGAATATATAATCCTTTTTATAAATAATCTTTCAAATTAATATAAATGGCGCATTGGCGCATTGTCCTGTCTGTTCAAGACACTTGAGACACCGCACGGGAACGCTTAGCTATACTTGCGCCCAACTTTTTATTAACAACGATATGCCTAAAAGCTTACCTCATTTGATACGAGTATCTATGCACTTTATATTAAATATGTTTTGTTTATTTTAGATATGTTAAGTATATATGTATGGCTATAGGTTTACATGTTATGTTGATTCTGCTATTATTTGTTGTTATGTTTATATTGCTCTTATATTTTTATTGTAACTGTTTGTTCCTAAATACGAGGGTCAAACTGAAAGTTCTTAGAACTGGCCACTTATAAACAATATAATAAAAAAATAATTCTAAAATTTGAAAATATAACTCTTTGCCAATATTACTGAGTATATATTTCATTCATTTGTCATTTGTTTTACGATTTGGCGGCAAATTGAAAATTGTCTGTGTCACGTCATCATGAATTTAACACGAGAAAATTTTCGTGCAATTATTTTGTATGACTTTCGATGTCATTTAAGTCAACAAGAAAGTTATGACAGACTACGATTGGCCTTTCACGATGAAGCCCCATCTCGTGCGACTGTTTACAACTGGTTTAATGAGTTTAAAAGTGGTCGCACTAATCTCACTGATGATTTACGTGAGGGACGGCCTTCTACGGCGACGACTGAAGATAACATCTGTGTTGTGCGGCGTATGATAGAGACTGACAAAAGAGTGACCTATCAACAGATTCGGACAAGCTTAGGCATCGGTATGAGTCAAGTGCACAAAATCCTCCACGAACATTTAGCGGTCAGGAAGCTTTGCGCCCGGTGGATACCTCATAATTTGACTGAGGCTCAAAAACTCCATCGTGTGGATTGGTGTCGTAAAATGATTGAAAGATTTAACGGAGGTGACTCAAATGCTGTGTTCGACATACTAACAGGTGACGAAAGCTGGATTGACTGTTATGATCCTAAAATCAAAAGACAATCTGCTCAGTGGGTGTTTCCTTTCGAGGAGTTGCCAACTAAAGTGAAGAGAGATCGAAGTGCGGGAAAAAAAATGGTGGCCTCGTTCTTTGGAAGGATAGGTCATTTTGCAACAATTGTGTTAGAGGATCAAAAAACAGTTTCTGCAGAATGGTACACTACCAATTGTTTGCCACTTGTCTTGGAAAAAGTTCGAGAGAAACGACCTCGCAGTAGGATCCTCCTTCACCACGACAACGCCTCGTCGCACACCGCCAAGCGAACGATCGACTATTTGGCGACATCAAACGTTGAATTACTGGGTCACCCGCCGTATAGCCCCGACCTCGCGCCTTGTGATTTTTATTTATTTCCAAAAATTAAAGAAAAACTTAAAGGAAAGCGGTTTATGAATGCTGAAGAAGCGGTGGCTGCGTATCGCGATGCCATTGAAGAGACCCCTAAGGACGAGTGGGCAAAGTGCTTTTCCCAGTGGTTCCATCGCATGCAGCGGTGTATTGACGTGAATGGACAATATTTTGAAAAGATATAATAAAACTAATAACTGGCTAATGTAATCAGTTTTTGATTTTCTAAGAACTTTCAGTTTGACCCTCGTAAAAATAAAATAAATGTTGATAAAGAAAAGTAAATTTTACGTTTTTATATAATATTTTTAGCTTACTTTTTATGTCATTATTTCGACATCAAAAATAATACTGAATTAAAATATTGGCAAAAAATAATATCCCGTTTCTAATATTTACATAATAATTTATTTGAAGTCGTTACAATTGTATGTACACTTACGTCTTTTTGTTCTTATAAATATTACATGTCATGAACGTCTTCATCCTACAAAGTGTATAAATTAAATCCAACCCATTATATTGACGACATTTTTTTATCACTTTTGGTCTTATCATTAATATAATTCACATTTATTAATATTATTAAATCTATGGCACTATCGTTAATAATGGTAGCCAGTTTCTTGGTCAAAGCTTGGAGGTTTTCTGGGTCCGCCGAAAACTTCTCCTCTACCAGCAACAGACTGACTTGAGATTTGAGAAACAGGCCCAGAGAATTGTGATTCCGACTGAGCGAATTGTGGTCTTGTAGAGCCTCGGTTATTGCTTTGGGGCCGCTGTGATTCTAGTTTTGTAATCTGAGCATCTAAAGATTGTGATTGGCAACAATTATTTAGTTTTCCATTATTTTGACCAAATTGAGGCCTTACAGAATCTAGAGGTTCTTGTTGTTGATTTGATCCGTAAGGCCGACTCTGAACATTGAATTGTGACTTGCTATCTGCTGCAGGTTGATCATTGGTATTTTGTGATGTTCCCTGAGAAAACTGAGGACGCTGTTGTAATGGTGAACCAAACTGTGGTCTTGTTCCAAATATAGGCCGTGTAGGCTGCTGAGTGTTTAGTTCCTGACTACTTTCTTGCGTTTGGCCAAATTGTGGTTGAGGTTGACCACGATGCGGGCTAGAAGTTGATCCAGGTTTGGCGGGAGCAGGTAGCCTTTCAGATGGCTTGTTGTATTCATAGATTTCACCGGAGTATTGCTGTGGTGGAGAGGTTTGAGAATTATCTCCCTGGTCTTTCTCTGAAAGGGTTTGTGGATAGCGTTGGCCGAAAGATTGCTCGGGAGAAGAATGAATTTGGTTTTGTTGGCTATACTGCGATTGAAATGTCGGTCTAGCACCAAAAGTGGGAGCAGTAGGAGTGCCAGATGCAAATGCCGAAGCTGTTGTTTGCTGAGATGGAAATCCTCCAAAAGGAGTAGTAGCTACTGTAGGTGCCAACGTTGGAGGTCTGGGGTATTTTGACGATGCTTGTCCATTTTGTGGTTGGAAAGGACTAACAGCAGCCTGCGTTATCCCATTATATTGAGAAGATGTGGTACTTCCTTGGAATTGACTATTAATCGAGGCAGTAGGTGCAGCAGATGCTAATGTAGGTGGTTCGGGGTAACGAGTATTTCCACGAGTTGGTTGCTTATTTTGTGGTTGGAAAGAAGTAATAGGGAGAGTGGCTTGTGGGTTTTCTGAAAATTGAGGCTGTGATTGTTGAAATATTCTATTAGACTGCCCAGATGGCGAACTAGGAATTCTGGAGCTGCTTGTTGTTGGCGTGTTGAAAGGTTTCACTGGTTGTTTATAATAATATGAATTAACCGCCCGTTGTGGTTGCTGGTTGTATACTGGTCTGACAGTGCTCGGTGAGTATTGAGCATCGCTAAGCTGATTTTGAGCAAATCCATTTTGTGAAGGCTGTGGGTTGCCAGTCAAAGACGAGTAACGGTTTTGGTTTTCACTTGGGAAACCAATATTCGAAGCTTGAGTTTGAGTGTTAGAAAGTGTACGGGTTGGTTCTTGATTGCTTAATTGGTTTCCAAACTGGGATGTAGGGACGTTAAAATTTTGTCCATTAGATATATTTTCAGGTAATGTTCCAAGATTGGCCCCGTATTGAGAAGGTTTTTGATTACCAGAAGAGGAAGAATACTGACTTTGATCTCGAGCAGGGAAATCAGTATTCGAAACTTGACTTTGAGCATTAGAAAGTGGATGAGCTGATTGTATATTGCTAGAATGACTTTCAAACTGCGAGAGATGAACATTAAAAGTTTGTTCATTGGGCATGTTTTCGCGGTTGGACCCATTTTTAGAAGGTCGTTGGTTGCTAGTCGATGAAGGGTGTTGATTTTGATCTCTAGCAGGGAAATGAGTATTAGTAACTAGAGTTTCGGTGTTAGGAAGAGAATGTGCTAGTTGTCTATCATTAGACTGACTTCCAAACTGCGATGATGGACGAACATTAAAGTGTTTTGTACTTATAGAAGGTACTTCATGATTAGAAGGCTTATTTAAATTATTCTGTGTTTCACTAGATTCCAAAGGCGTAGTTAACTCAATACTGGGAACAGATGTTGGACGTTGAGTTTCAAATGATGTAATATTTTGTTCGTCATCAGTTTCTTTTTCCTTTTTTACTGGGTAACTATTAACATTTTTAGAAAATTCATTGTTCAAGCTTTGTGGCTTTTGTGAAAAGCTGTTGAATGACTGAGGTTCTTTAACATTAGCAGTAGTTCCAAGGGATACTTCACTAGTTGCTTGGATATTACCAGTTTCCGAAATTTGATTAAAGTTTGGTTCTAGTGTAGAATCAGCAGAAGACAAAGGTCTTTGGGGTCTGAAAGATCCCTGAACAGGAGGCAAGTATTCATTTCTAGAGGAAAATCTATTGCCTGAATTTAGGCCAAAATTTGCAGCTACCGAAGATGACATAGAACTACTTGTTGGTTCAAATCCATTACTTTTTGATGGTTTTTCATCATATGTTGAACCTTGTAACATAAATGTATTACGATTTAACCCTCCACTTGGCTTTTTAATGTTTTTCTCAAGTTCTTGTGGTGCTGAAAACTGTAAATTTCTGTCCATGCCGCCACTCAATGGTTGATTGTTGTTTACTGGTAAATTAACCGGTCTTGGAGTTTTACCATTTTGTTGCAAGCCACTGATAGATGGGCTGAATTCGTTTCTTGATCCGAATCTATTTGATTGTAAATGGTTAGATTGCGAATCATGACTAAATCTGTTATTAGAATTAGAAGATCCAAAGGCATTGTTTAAAGATTCCTGACTATTTAATGTTCCATATTTTTGACTATTTGTTTCAAAGGCACTTGGTTTTACAAAAGCTTGATTGTTCTGACTAATGAATGAACCACTGGCAGTTGCGTCAGTTGCGGGTTGCCTGCTAAAACTAGGTGCTGATTTGTCGTTTTGTTCTACATTGGTGATGTCACTTTCTGAGTAATCAGCTCCAGCATTGTATTTTTGCGCGTCGTATGTGCCTGTAAGTAAAAAATGAAAGTTGTTGGTCATTTGTCAACGCCTTTGCAAATGTATCAATCAGTTGGCTATACATTTATCACTACTTACAATAGGCTTTAAAACTAATCTTTAACGGATTTTTTAAATGAGTCATTTTTAAGCCTCCAGATGGGTAGGAAAGTTATTTCGTACTTCATAAGTAGCTTTTATGAATAAATGACGAATGAGAATCTAAACAAATATTTAATATTTATTATTCCTATTGTTGCACTAAATGTAGGGTAAACATTGCTATAGAATACGAAAACGCATTTATTGTGAAGTCTACAATCAATATATTAAGATTCAATGTGATTTAAAGGAATTTAGTGGATTATTAAGCTCTACATATTATTATATAATCAAAGAGTATTTATCAGTTTCTAAAATTTACTACGAGCTAGAACGCTTAATAATACAAATGCTTTTTATTATATTAATTAAAACCACTTTCAGTTTCGCATAATTTCATTCGATTTATGAAAAATTTTTCGCTCGCATTAATAAGGGATTTCCATATTGGTTTTTTAAATTATTCCAAGAAACAAAACTAAACTTACGAAACATATTTACAATAATGGCAAAACGAAAAAAATCGTATCTTTTAATATTCACAACACCATACAATTTTATGATATCACGGTGCATTTTCGATATCCATATGATCATCAAGGTTACACACAATGGGACCTGTTCTATCTTTCTAATCGTTTTTTTTTAATGTCTCCTATTGTGTAGTACAGAAATTGTATCGAGAGACTTATAAAGCTCAATGGAGTGTCGACATCTTCAGTTACGAAGCGACACAATTGACAGGTAATGAAACCGGAGGTTTTTTGTTCGGCTGTCAGATAACTAGATGAGTATGTATTAGATAAGTATAATTAAGTACACATTAAATGTTGCTTAAGACAAGTCATCGGTACATTTGCAACGGTATTAAGTTTTTTTTTTTCTGATTGTCACACGCATTATTTTAATATTTACTTTTGTGTCTGGCAAAGTTTTTTAGCAAGACTATTAATTTATTTAGAGTTTTATATGTTGCTTATGCTTTTTTCGATTGATAATTGTACGTCTTTAAACAATTTCAGTATTTAATTAGTCATAAATCCTGGATCTAAATATTAGTCAAAGATTTTTATATATCGATGTATAGCTCGAAGATTAACGAACTTAGAATTTTATCTTAATAATAAATTTGTTTATTTATTTAATCTTATTACCTAGTTAAAATAGTGGACTTAATGATAAAAAGAGGCATTTTCTACCAGTCAACCAGAATATTTATATTAGGTGTACTCTCTTAATTGATTCTCACCAACCTCTCGTAATCAATCGTGTTTCAAACTTATCTATAATAAGATCCGAGCTTGGTGTTTTAAAATATTTAAGCTTAAGAATTTCATATAAAATTTTGTCTGCAAAGTTATTTGAATCTTTATTAGGAGTTTTTAATTTTATCTATGACCTGGTAATATGAATACCTTAGTAAAAAAATTTAAAATAGTTTTCTGTAAATTATTAGATGCTATCGCGCTTCCATCCGGTTGTTTTGAACTATTATTGTTATGTTTAATATTTATACGAACACAAACTACATAATAATATTTAGCTATTGAGAGGCTTCTTGTTAAGTGACAATAGATAAAACGGAAGCAGGTTTGATTTGAAGCACATTAAATAATTATATTCTAGCATTTGTTACAAATATTGTATCCCTAAGAAATATAACGCATGATCGTCCAACCCAGAATAAGTCCTTGGTAGAGCACTCATTTTGTCATTAAAATAACTCTGTAAACTCACTAAATTGTAGTTCATACATACAATACGCACGTTCATTATTGCGCTTGATGAAATAATTATAAACACTAATATATTCTTATCTTCAAAGTGTTCCCGTTATTATTATACTGTATCAAATAAATAAAATGATTTCTTTGAGATAAAATTAAAAAGGATTTATTGATAATGTTACTATTTTTTATACTTTTAAACTAATAAAATATTAATAGAAAAAGATGAAAGATTCATATTAGTATATTAGACAACAAAACGATTTATATTATGGTAGTAAAAAAAATAGCCGATAATATTTTCTACATTAGGTGAGAATCGAATCTCTGGTAGCAGTGACACCTTAAAAAAGGCATAGCAAGTCCTATGGACATAAATTTACCGATAAATTATTCAGTATTTGTTAAAAATTAAAATTGTTCAAAACATTAAAAAATCAAATAAACTTGTATAGTGAAAAAAAAGTTTTCAATTGATCTATCGTAATTTCACTGTTAATTATCATCTTTAAACGAAAACATAATACCGTAATAATACTAATAAGTCTTATAAAACTTACCATCATCGTTAAGTCCAGCAGCTTCATCTCTAGCATTCTGCTCCAAAGACTTTAAAATTTCAACAGGAATCGGAGGTGGGGTTGGCAAATGGTCACCTTTCGGCTGGTATCCACCCTCGTCCGCAGTATAAGTCACACTGTATACTTGGCCATCATCACCAGTGTAGGAGTAACCTCCTTGGGCTTGCACACCATTTGTTGCTACACCATTTTCAGAAGCAGATATACCATTGTCAGTTTCAAAGGAGTACCGATAAGCATCAGAACCTACTTCATTTTCCAACTGAATGACGTTGGCAGCACGATCGTAAGCAGCCTGTGCTCTTTCCGGCTTAGCTTCAAAGCGAGCGTTGGCTCCAAAACCTTGAGATAGTCCCGATAATTGGGCGTTAGCTGCTTGAACATCAGAATCTAAATGCTCTTCTTCGATAGCCTGAGTGGTTGGTAGTCTGAATCCAGCAGTTCCTCTAAATGCAGCATCACCTACTTTGGAGTTAGTCGAGCCATACGTTGGTCTGGGTGCACCTAAGCCTGTTTCACCTTCAGAAGTTCGTGTTCCAGGAGCTGCAGCGTCCACTACTACTCCCTGGAATTCATTCGTGAAACTCCCCTTTGGTAGCCCACCGAGACCTTGATTAAAAGAGTTGCTAGCAAAGGGAGTTTGTAGGGACCCCGCAGATCCACCAGCTGTTTTTGCTGAAGGAGGCGGAAGGTAAGTGCGATCCAATTTCGCGGCACCGCACACCGCTACCAAAGCGGCTATCAACACCTGAAAATAACGAAGAAGTTTAGTTTTTAATAAACATTATCAATCAAAGTTAAAGATCAAAACCATTAGCAGGGCTTGTGTTCACTAATAGAAAATACAAACCGAAATTACTTCTATCGTTTAAACGTTAAAAGTAAATTTTGCGTTTTTTTTTTCTCAAAAGAACAACATTTCACGTACCTTAAACACAATACGTAAATGAAAAAGCTAATAACCTCTTTACGGATTTAAAAAATAATTGAGCTGTAAAAGTTGTTTACATTTAAAACAAGTGGTAAGTGATTCTTTTAAAAATGATCCGTCATTGACTTTTAAAATATAGGAAACGGTATAATCATATGTCAAATTGAGTACTTAATTTATTGTTATACTTCACAATGATCTGAATAACATTTGACAAAATGAAGACAGAAAACTATTTTATATATAATTGCACTGTTAATAAATTCTAAATTTTAAATATATTCACACTGTTATCTTCCAAAATCACTCCTTTTACTCCAGTTTTTCCCTAATTGCTATATGAATTGATTGATCTCCTGACGTCATTTAGTTACACAACCGCAATCATTGAACTGAAATCTTCACTTAATCACTCACTTCCTTTCAGACAACGATTAATGCTATTACCAAATTCATTTCGATGTGCCTCAACTCCTGCGCCTTCGGGATAGTGCTACAATGATGGCTCAACACTAACTGATGCTCAACAAGAAGATTCATTTCCTTTTTATACCTTTAGAAAACTCGTCCAAAAAACGTGCCCATGCGATCACGACAAAATTACAGTAACACATGTACTTGGAGACATGTGACCTTTAATGATCAGATTTAGAGTTGAAAATACCTTGCTTCATTGCATGTGTACTAGCAAAGGTTACGTTGGTCATTGCACACATAGTTCCAAGTTCAAGAGCTTTATTGAAGCTTAATTGGGGACTATATTTTTAGTGGTAATATATAAATATTGAGGTGATCATTGTCAGTGATTAGCAGAGCGGTATAGCACGGAGATCATTTGATCATCATTGCTCTATTACTGATTGATAACAGACAGATTTATATAATGGATAAATCTATATAGAAAACTTTTAATTAAAATACTTTTAATTGTTTGCGGAATGATCATTAAATTGATATCCATACTAGCACCAACTATTTCATCTTCTGATCTTTTGGAGATGAAACATTTGATTGTTTATAATAGGATCCGAAAATAGTGGACCAATTTAGAAAATTCTTACAAGTAGTTGCATACAACTATTGCGTATGACACAGGCTATAATTTACGAGGGTGAAGTCTCATGAAAACAGCTAAATTCTAATAAACGAGAAAGTATATTTCTTTGTTAGTACTTCTTACTTATGAGTCTGTGGCAACAAAAAATCATGGTAGGTATCATCTTTTATGCGTTTATGGGCAGGCACTTTTTCCCAAAAAAAAAACCGATTCCCTTTTACACCCATATGAATGTGTGTATAGCCGGGATAAAATAAAAGCTTCAAATGGACACGATCATTTTATTCCATTGATACGAGTGACTGATTGGCTTGTAGGCGGAATATGCAAAGTAATATATAAATTTCAAACCTAATAGACTTGTTTGTTTTCAAAGAGAATTTTTAACTTTTTGTTTTCAAAAAAAAATTTGACACGCATTTATTTTCTTACATATTACATTTCTGTTTTATAACTGGTGTTACAATTCTATTATTACTCATTGAATGGTATTCCGAACAGGTTTCTTTGCTTAAAATAAACCTACAACTAATCATAAGTAGTACAAATTTCATCTTATAAACTACGAACTATTTCCTCGCAACTTCACTAACGTAAAATTTAGCTTTAACCACCCGAGTATGTTCAGCTTTACATAGGTGAAAGAAATTTCCTGCAAACAAAGTTTGTAAAAGTTTGTAAACTTTACCTCTTTATAATATTGATATTGACGACCTCCGTAGCCGTGTACCTTGCAAGTTGTTTACAAGGTGTCACCATCTCTGAGGTCGCGAGCTCAATTCCCAGTCGGGTCAATGTACAAAATAAACTTTTCTGTATTTTCAGTGTTGGCACCATTACTGTATCAGATACTCTATAATACGTAGGCCTTACCTAGTCTTCTTAGGATCTGAGCAATATATGTTTGCTCATATCAAGCAATATCACAAATTCTCTACTTGTCCCTATTCTTCTCTTCAACTCTTTTTATAGTTCTTCTTACTGATCCTTAATTATTTTATGTAAGTGATTTATCATTAGGGTTCAAATGCGCCTTTAAGTTGAGTCTAATTTAACATACTGAGACATAAAATATTTTCTCAGTCCTGATGGAATTTGGATCTAGAAACATTATTACCGTTTATAGTGCTTAGTCTAACAAATTTGTAACTGGGCTAAAATACTTTTTAATGCCTAATCTAAACATACGATTTAAAATTTCTTTTTTTTATAAAAATATTAATATTCTTATTTTTATATGCAGATATAGATACGTTATAGTTCGGTTTATAATGTACCTACCTCTGCAGCGTTAGTTTAAATGAGTTAATTATAGTTATGGTCAACAATATATGAAGGTGTCGGAAAATTAAACAACTGCGTTACATTTTGAATTTATTTTTAATTTTTATTAATCTTGTACAAAGAGAATCACAACGTGTCAGTTTTAAACTGTACCGCTTATAATTAACTTCTTATAAAATTAAATCACAGAAGTTATCAGTTTCATAGAGTATCCTTATTACTTTGGATTGCTGCGTTACCAAAATTTAAATTTATAACATAAACTTTTCTATTTATCACAAATAAAAACTTAAAATTAATACCAACTTACAACATAATCTTTCAATTTTGATGAGTAATACGTACGTATGAAATTAAAGCACGTTAAATAAAAAGAATCATAGATATATTGAAAATACTATAAAAAATCTGAGGGACACAAAAGTAACGCAGTAGTAAGCCCAGTAACACGGTAGTATTTTCTTACATACAATTCTTGTACATACAATATTTGTACTTTCTATAGAGATCTAGTATAACGATAAAAACATAAGAAAATATAACTTCCTATGACTCGATATAAAATAAAGTATCTTCAATGAAATAAATTTAAAAACTCAAAAAATAAAAATCACAAAATCAACCTTAATAACTAATGGAACACTTTCAAATCAGTCCTACTTTTCAAAGACGTTTAATGGTTTATCATAATCAAAGTATATCCTTTTACCTTTTACGACAATTTTAGGATTAGGAACAATTTCTAAGATGTTATCGTAAGGTTCGTAAGAAATATCAGTATCTACTGCTTTGAACTTTTTACCAGTTTTTTCTACTGTCTTATAAAACATAATTTTGACGTCTCCTTCTTCATCAACTTCACTTTTAGCAACACCTAGATAAGTGTAAGTTTGTCTTTAACAGAAGACACTTTTACTAAGACATGGACACCGTCTGATATCTTTGTAGGATGAATATTTTCCTTTTCAATTAATTGCCTTTCTTTTATATTAGAAACTGATGGTTGGCTATAGCTGGCTAAGAACTCGTCATCAGAGCTGGAAGGTGTGGAATAAACCGTATTGTAAAATGTTCTTCTAGGTAATTATATATAAAATATCATCGAGAACTATTTTCTCATCCAATCCATCCAAGAGAATACCTTCTGTAAGTGTGTGTCAATTACGGGAGCAGGAACAGGGTGATAAGGTTTTGGGCTCATGCATGAGCAAAAACCTCTTTGGCAAAAACAACTGAGATCTCTATATTGAAGTTCACCGGGAGTGTCAGTAAAAACTTGATGTACTAGCATCGTACCTTGAAGTGGTACAAGGTTTTTAGGTAGAGCTTTTTCATTGTTTTGTATGTCACTGTCCGTCACTAAAAAACGGACAGTGACATACAAAACATTGAAAAAAAAACGGACCTTGCTTAACTCCTTCAGTTTTGGTGAGCGATAACCCTGGTTTTGTTGAGAGCATCTAAAATATACTGCACATTAGTATGTATCTTGCATAGGCAAATCTCTCTTCCAGAAACTGAAGGTGGCTTTATATAAAATGGCCTGTTTTTAATGAAATACGAATAAGAACATCTCAAATCTGGATTTTCTTTTTTAAAAGAATGAAATAGGTTTTTCATTGTGTCTAGTAAATATCGCTTCTGTATTTTAATTTTATTACAAATGACAGTTTCCCGTTTTCCAGCAGGAGCTCTAGAAACATCGTCACGAACAAAAAAGCTTTTAATGCTGTTAACCAGATTTTTCTTTGAGGTATTCTGCTGTCGTTTCATCACTTTCATCAGATCAATTCCCAACGTCTCGCGTACAATAGCAATTTTTATTTTAGAGTTAGATAAGCCTTCTCCTTGAAAATTTGTTTTAATGATTGTTTCTCTTTGATTGACTTCAAACTTCTGTAATGATCTTTGATGGCACTGGATAATATTGAATACTTATTTTGGTTAAGCTTATTTACTTGTTCCGTGTGTTTGATTGACGTTTTAGCTCTTTGGTCTTTATCTCTTTTTATATTTACTACACATTCTTTTCAATTTTTCTATTTCTTCCTGCAATTTCAAATTATTTCTGTACATTGCAGATCTATCTCTTCGTATTTGTTTTCGGCCTCTAGACCTCGGTAAAACTGGAGTTCCTGACCGCGGGTTCGACGTCGGTGTAATGTCCATAATTTGTTGAGCAGTTTTTTGTCCATCTCGACGTTTCTTATTTGTAGTTTTCCATTTACGCCTAGCACTCCTATGTTCTCGCTCTGTCATATCTTTGACAAGTTTTTTATTTGCATGGTACCTTTCCTGGTGTTTTTTCTTAGCTTCAGCATTTCTCACCGGGTCTAGTTTTAATTTAAGCCTATAGCGACGTTGTTTTTCTGCGTTTGTTAACGCCATTTAGCGCAGAATCTTTTCTCTAAGATTAAAAAAAAAACCATTTATAAAATTTAAGGCTTAAATAACGTATCACCAACATTGACAAATATATTATTTATTTTTATATGTAGTTAGTCATGTCTTTGTAAAGCCGAATATGTAAAGCCGAATAAGGTGCAAAAAAGGGTAATACACTCACTTAAAGGTTTATTTTCATATAGCAACGCAAGGTAGTTACGATTTTAGTATTTGTTAGGGACGCAGTCAAAATAATTCTTTACTCCAATAATTTTTTGATGTAAAAAATATTTATTGGCATTATAAATAATGTTTAGGGCTTAAATTTTTAAAGCGGAATTCATTATGAATCGCCACCTAGGAAATATTGTGGAAAAATTCCAGAGAAGCTTGAGACATGTGCTCAAGGACAACTGTATTTTGTATGAAGAACAAATGCGTTACTAAGAATGACAACATTGTTCCTATATTTTTTATAACAAAAAATATAGGAACAATGTTGTCATTCTTAGTAACGCATTTGTTCTTCATACAAAATACAGTTGTCCTTGAGCACATGTCTCAAGCTTCTCTGGAATTTTTCCACAATATTTCCTAGGTGGCGATTCATAATGAATTCCGCTTTAAAAATTTAAGCCCTAAACATTATTTATAATGCCAATAAATATTTTTTACATCAAAAAATTATTGGAGTAAAGAATTATTTTGACTGCGTCCCTAACAAATACTAAAATCGTAACTACCTTGCGTTGCTATATGAAAATAAACCTTTAAGTGAGTGTATTACCCTTTTTTGCACCTTATTCGGCTTTAC